ATCCCTTGGGCAACATCCTTGCAGATGGCCAGTTCTCTCACACCAGAATCAACTTGCAGTTTCTCAAGTTGCTCCTGACATGAAAAAAAGCTGAGTCCATTGTCCATTACTTTGAAAAAATGTCCAATGTCTCCCGCACAATTTCAAAAACAGGAAACTCATTTAAGTAATTGCTTATCTAACACTTATATATCATTTTTTCCAAATATTAAAAGTGTTCCAAATTCAAATGAAAGGAAATGGTCTACACAAAGAAATAAACCAATCTGTCTATGTTCTTTCCACCTTATCTGATACTTTTTGGAACAGTAAAAATCAATAAATTCATACAGAGAAAAGCTATGAAGTTATGAGGGGGAATTGCTATCTCTTTCATTATGGTGATATCTTTTTCAACACATCTGTTTTTAAATCATTGGTCATTGGTCAATTTCTTAGTCAATATCAGCATTCTAATAGGTATGTGTTTCCACTCTATTTAACTTTGAATTCATTACTCTGCTGAAATCACCACTCCCCAGATTTTAACCTTCAATAAATCCATCAATTACTTTTGTCAGCTCGATAGAGAACAACGTCAATTAGTATTAAATTCAACAGTCAAAATAGTTTTTTAAACAACTATACATAATACCTTTTCAGAAAACAAGCTTAACATTCTCATCTCAAAAATTCTGCCATAATGCATATACTATGGAAAAGAAAGTCACATCAAATAGTTCCAAAGGGTTCTTCATCATGCCTTTTTTTTTGGGGGGGGGGGAATTAAACAATATGTTTGACATTTAGATTTTATAATGGTCCAACTTTCAATTCTAAACATGAAATCTCCACATTGAAACAGTCTTCTGTCTAAATTTTGAGGTTGCCCATTTTGCATGGAAAACAGCATTTGTAGCACATCAAACATTTTCTGCATGGATAATATTTCAACGTAAAAATATTTCTTCCTACACGGAAAAGATTTAGTGCAGAAAAAAGTTGTTATTGAGGATTTGATCTTTGTAAAATCCACACAAGTTTGATTTGTATAGAATAAATAATTTTCTACAAATGAAACAACAAGTTATGTGCAAGGAGAAGGCTGTTCTATGAAAATTTCATTTAAGATATTTGGTTCAGATAGGCAAGTCTTTGCAGAAATACTGTTATACTCTTACTTCGCGACTAAAACGTTTACTACTCTGTATCACTACCATCCTACTGAAGTGTACTGTTTTTCACCCATGTGGTCCCCCACTCTCCTATGTATACTGTCCCTAATATTACTGACTAGTGGAAGGGGCAAGGGAGGAAGTGGGTTGGAGCCCGTGAAGAACAATGAGGAGGGGAGGGGGGATAAAGAAAATCAAGGTAATTGGCAAGAAAAAAACGCCAACAATCCAAACAACTAGCGGAACAAAGACTAAGACCTTGGTCATGGACTGCGGCACGGAGGAGGGGAGGTGTTCCACTAGCCGAGGGGCCCCCATAGAGGTCGTGGTGGGAAGGAGGAGATGCGGAAAAAGGAGACCTCAAATTCGGCTTAATTCGGACCGTTTATCTACATTAACAATTCCAAACCGGTCTCCTAGGGTAAATTGGTGTAACCAGGCTGGCGGGCCCTCCGGATTGAAGGTGGTGCTGCTGAACGCCAGATCTGTCAACGGAAAAACGACCTTTATCCAGGATTTAATCCTGGATGAGCGGGCAGATCTGGCGTGCATCACGGAGACCTGGCTGGATGAAGCTGGAGGAGTAAATCTGACCCAGCTTTGTCCTCCAGGTTTCTCCGTGCAGCACCAACCGAGATCCGGAGGTCGGGGAGGCGGGGTCGCAGTGGTCTATAGAGATTCCATCCATCTGACCAGGTGCCCCATCCCGCAGACCACAAATTTTGAATGCGTCTACCTGAGGGTGGGTGACCGGGACAGAATAGGGATTCTGTTAGTGTACCGTCCACCTCGCTGCACTACAGTCTCCCTACCTGAGCTAGCGGGGGTGGTCTCGAGCCTGGCGTTGGAGTCTCAACAGCTTCTTGTGCTGGGAGACTTCAATATCCATGCCGAGGTGACCCTCACAGGAGCGGCTCAGGACTTCATGTCTGCCATG